TAGTTCTGTGCGTTAAAACCATCTTATATGGGGGCTAGGTTCAAATATAGACCGATGTTCCTCATACCTAACAGTATTATTTTAGGGTGCATTAAACTTACTCCTGGAACATTTTATCACGATTACTATATAATTAACATATTTATAGGTATTTAAGCAATATTCCGGAGATATGGACATAATGACATTTTCAACGGCAAAGCAATATTTGTATAAAATGAAATTGCAGAATAGGAGGGATTTTAATTTTACTCTTAAAGCCATGAAAACATTTTCAGGTCAATCGATAGTTAAACAAGCATTACATTAAAAAAATTTTAAATTTCAAAACGCTTTTCTTGAAATCATAAAATTCAAATATAGGTGTGTGTGTTTTTATAGTTTTATTCAGGACAACACTTTTTCAACAGAAATTCATTTACCTTATTCCTGCAATAACATATTTTCTAAAAAAATCTTACTGATGTTGCATATTTCTTACTAAAATAAAACTATGTGGGTATTAGAAAATCCAAAATACTGTACATTTTTACTGGGTAAATTGCTCACCTTCTATAAAAAATATAGAAATGAATACATACGAGTTTATATTAATATCATGTTTAAAGAAAGAATGTGATAACTCAAATATTGCGTTTTTCTTTAACAGAGTATTTTTCTTATAATAAATTATTATTCTTGCAGTAAAATATATTAAATTTTTATTAGAATCTAAAGAAATTACATGTCGGCAATAGAAATCCTATGTCTATTGTCAAAGACACCCTAAGAAGTACAATATATATGTATGTATGAAAAGAAAATTAAAATGTATAAAAATGAGTTATGACGGTATATCGCAAATGATCAATTTTAAAATGAACATATAAATTTAAATGAATGTAAATAAAATGACATTAAAATACTCAAGAATAGAAGCTATAAACCATTAATTGCATTTTATCTCACAACTTAGTAACGACAGAGTGTCTCGTAACAACGGTTGTTATAGACGTCCGAAAAGAATAATATTAATAAGAATTGTACATAAATACTATTATCGACATGAATTGTTTATGTTCTGAAGAGATACGAGCTCAAAATCTTCAAAATAAAAGATTGGAAAGAAATCTGCAAATTCACAAACGTAAATATAATAAACAAATAAAATTGCTGTTATTGGGCACGAAGGGATCTGGTAAATCTACATTTATACGTCAAATGCGCTACGAGACTCATATGCCATACGATTCCACGAAATATGTGGGCATTATAATTCAAAATATATTCTACGCAATGCAAACCATGATCGAAGCAATGAAAGTTTTTCAGATACCCTATAAGACTAAAGTGAATGCAGTAAAAAATTCGTATATTATACAAATGGTACAATTGAACAATACGATAACATTTACTAATGTCTTATTGACGGCTTTAAAGGAACTTTGGGCAGATGCTGGCATACAGGAATGTTTTATGCGTGGTCATCAGTATGGTCTACTAGACTCAACGAAATATTTTTTCAGTCATCTAGATCGTATTGCCAATCCACATTATACACCCAGCATCCAGGATATTTTACGAGCACGTATACCATCAAAAGGCTTTCAAGAACATGTGTTTAAATATAAAAATGTTGAATTCCTTATAGCCGATGTGGGCTATCAAAGTACAGAACGTAAGAAATGGATACATTGTTTCGATAATGTTACCGCCATCATATATATGGTGGCCATTTCCGAATACGATCAATTCTCCTTGGACTCGAAACATGGCAATAGTCTTAAAGAATCTATTGAACTTTTGAACTCAATTATGTCTTTTCAATATTTCCAAGACACAGCACTTATTATAGTTTTTAATAAATTGGATATATTTGAGGAAAAGATCACCTACTCACATTTGGCCGATTATTTTCCTGAATACTCCGGATCACCGTATGATCCGCAAGAAGCTCGTTCTTTTATTGCCAACATTTTTTTGAGAACCATACCTACAAAGCGAAGGGTCTACTCTTATTATTTAAATTGTACCGATGAACATAACCAAGGGATTCTTTTTGTTTATAGAGCTGTTCGAGATACGATTTTAAATGCTAATTTATATAATTTTAACCTAGTTTAAAGCCATTTTTTGATCAATTGTAATTTTTCAAACTGCCTGATTAATGTTAGTAGTATTAAGGGATTATTCCATGTATAATATTTATATTTAATATTATAGAATATTAGTCTTATTATTATATTTATATGTATGTAATAAAAATTACTTATTACTAGAATTCTATTAAAATTTTTATTGTCAACCGCAAAGATACAAACAATTTTTTTATATAAACCAATAAGAATGCTACATCAAAAGAATAAGACCTAAGGAGAATCTAATATTTTATGTAAATTATGTTTACATTAAATTTATAAAAACTAAATAAACTTAAATATTACACAAATTATTTAAATTAAAAAAAAAAGTTTATAACTAGACCTTAAACTTTTAAAAATACCTTAATTAAGTTCGAATTTTAGGAATATATATTTAAAAAGCTTATATTTCAAAATATTTTAATATTCATGAAAATTAAACTTTTCTTTAAGTTTAATTTGAAAATTTATTAATTTTTTTAATAAGTAATTTGATATATAGAGGTATTTCAATTAAGGATCAAATTAAAAAAATTACCACGACCAGGCATACTGGCCCGAGTCAGGATTATTTAAATTATTCATAATCGTGGCTTAAAACTCAAAATAGGCAAATGACATTTAGAAATATCGCTCGTAGACCCTATAAATTATATATACTCTGGGTCCTTGAGAAGGTCCAGAGGAATGGACCTAGAAATATTCTATGGAATATGGTTTAAATCGTCATAGAAATGTTAATTTGGTCGTAAATGTAACAAGTTTTCATATTTGATCCTCATATAAGAACCTCCTCAAAAAATTACTTTTACGCTGATAGCTACCGTAATACCAGTATAGTTATGAAAATCTTCCTATTTAACCTTATACGAACCCGCTCATAAGGAAAATTACTTTAATGCTAACAACTGACTTTAATGCTTACAACTAGTTTAAAAATAGCATTATTGCATTGAAATTCGAAACAAAAATATTTTGAAAGAACGTAAATTCCCTTTATGGACCTGACCCTAACCTTAAATATGAGATTTCCTTCAGAAAATTATATAACTACCTCATAATACCAGTAAAGCAACAGAAATCGTCCTAAACAATGAACTAAATTTTCATATGAATCTGTCCATATTTGATCCAAGACTCCAAACAAGGTCCGCTTCAGAAAATTACTTAAGCACTCATAACTTGCTTCAAAAATTATATATAGAGGATTCAAAAATTCTCTTCCCTTCAGAAAATTACATAACTACCTCATAATACCAGTATAGCCACAGAAATCGTCCTAAACAAGTTTTATATAAACTAAAATTTCATATGAATCTGGCCATATATGATCCAAGACTCCAAATAAGGTCCGCTTCAAAAAATTACTTAAGCACTCATAACTTGCTTCAAAAACTATATATGTATAGAGGATTCAAAAATTCTCTTCAACATTTTGTTGATAATTAACTCATCTATTCTCAATAAATCTTTTAAAACATTTCAATAACATGGTACAAATCAACAAAAAGATTAAAAAAAAAAAACATTAATCTCCTTTTTAAAATTTTTTTAGATCGGTTCATGACCCAAACCCCTATCAAAGATCTTATTCCGAAAATCACCCTAATGTACATTTTATACGATAACAAACTTTAATAAATGTGTAAATCGTGTAAGCTCTTACACGTTTTTTTTAAATTTGGTTATTTTCAACTTCATGTTTATAGATCCAAAAGAAGGAACAAAATTAAACTGAGGTTAAACCAATATTTTGAAGCCTGCGGAAAGGACTTCCAAACGACAAAATAACTTTTTTAATAAACGTATATTCGCGAATGATTAGTTCTTCATATATTATTCTAATATAAGTATCCTCATGTATACGGATGCAGAGAATAGTTTATTCCTTGAAAAAAGTACACTTATCACAATGGACCTTATGGTGTCCATTCAATACAAATACGTGTATGGAAAAACGTATTGTATCGAATTTAAAAATCTCAAATATTGACAAACGACATTCTTGTGTCAAATGTGTGCCCGTATATATACATATGTATATATTAAACCTCAATAATTTAACTGATTCATCTGAAGATAAAATATAAATTTATACTTTCTATAAAATAAAACAATTGTTTTAAAAAACTAGTATATGGATAAGAACAAATTTATCATGAATCAGTATTCTTTTATAAGACGTTCTATATAGTTCTGTTTTAAAAACAGATCAAAACAACATATTTTTTATTATAAATCCATAAACAACTTTAAAATGAATTGTTTAATAAATGAAGAACAATTGGAACAAAAAGAAATAGAAAGAGTTCTAAAGGAACTTAATAAACAATATAAAAAGATATTAAAACTATTACTGCTAGGAACAGGGGAGTCAGGCAAATCGACTTTTATACGGCAAATGCGTATTCTATACGACAATGGCTTCAGCGATGAGGAGAGATTGCATCATATTAATTGATATATGAAAAATATTTTTAGTTCCATGAAAAATATGATTGCAGCCATGGAATTATTAAAAATTGATTATGAGAAAAGTGAAAATGCCACTGAAAATGCATTGCTCATAAATAAAGTAAGTTTCAATTGCGATACTGACTTGAAAGAACCCTATTTGTCGGCCATCAAACAACTATGGAACGACAAGGGCATACAGAAATGCTATTTGCGACGCAATGAATACCAATTAAACGATTCGACTAAATACTATTTGGACGATATCGATCGCATTGCTCTGCCAGATTATGTGCCAACGAATCAGGATATTTTAAGAGTTCGTCAGGCAACCACTGGCCTAATGATTATAATTTTCAAGTGAAAAATGTTAAGTTTCGTATAACAGATGTGGGTGGCCAACGATCGGAACGTAGAAAATGGATGCATTGTTTTGATAACGTTAAGGCCATATTATTTTTAGTGGCCATTTCGGAATATGATCAAGTTCTCAAGGAAGATGAACATCGCAATCGTCTTAAGGAGTCGTTCAAAGTTTTCGAATCCGTTTCGAACTTTTTCCAAGGCATTTCTATTATATTGTTTTTAAATAAAATTGATTTATTTGCTGAGAAAAATTATGTACTCACATTTAGATGAGTTCTTTCCAGAATTTAAGGGACCTCGTTGCGATTACGAAGCGGCTAGTAAATTTATATTGGACATGTTTTTACAGGCACGACCCAATATGTATCATCGTTATACCTGTGCCACAGATACCCAGAATATTGAAATGGTATTTACTGCTGTAAAGGACATCATTTTAAATACGAATTTGGACAAATTTGGACTTATGTGAAATGAAAACGTAAAATATCAACTTGTTGCACCTTTATTTTTTTTTATAAATAAGTCTTTTTATGTATTACGTATCAATTTAAATATTTTTAATTCAATTAATAAATTACCTTTAAAAAATCGATTTTTCTATCATCCTCCAATAGAGGATATAAGTCGCAAAAGGCCTACTTTTATAGATTTTCATTCAAACATTAATTATATATTATATCATTTCATCAGGATCATATATGCATGATTTTATATTCCTATATTTAATAATTCAGAAAATAAAAAACGAACCAATTGAATGATGATCAGAAACTCCCCTATTATAAGGTTTCATTTAATCAGTATTCTTTATTTACCTCTTTAGATTTTCATTGAAGAACAAAAGTGCCTAAAGATTTTCTTTCCATCAGGATCCTAAATGTCTGATTTTATGTTTAATTTTATGTTTCTAGGTTCAATAATATAGAAAATTCAAAAGTAACTATTGAAGAACAAAAAAGGTATACAAAATTCCAGTTTTTGCTAAAATTTTCAGAGGTTGTCTCGCATTTTTGCTCATATCTCATTTACACTAGCTGAAAAAAATACACAGAGTCCAAAGAGATTGAACAGCGTTGAATCCGAATCTTACCTCAGAATTTCTCCTTTAAATCTGTAATTCGAAATATCGTGCCCAGAAGCAATAACAATAAACCTATAAAAACTAATTTTTTCTATGAAAATACTTTTTACATAGTTTAAAAATCAGCTGTAGTTGCTGAGATATCATCCGTTAAAGTTAACATGCGGACAGTCATCGTTAAATAGAATCAGAAAGTGATTTTGTGCAGATTGTAACATTTTCAATCCAATATTTGGATCCAATATTTTTGTTCGTTATAAACCGAGTTTTCCAGCTTTGGGTAAAGATATCTCGAAGGATAAAGATATGTCAGATGTTAAGCTTTTATTATAAAGACAGAATCGGCTTTCAGATGGCATATAATATTTTATGCATGAAGTTGTCTTGGCACTGTTATAACGACTCAAAAGGGCCAAAAACGCCGTTGTTTTCAAATTTCAGGACACGATATCTCAAATCTCAGATATGATAGGGAAAATCTAAGGTCAGATTCGGATTCAGAGCTGCTCAATCCTTTATAACTTGGTCTCAGGATTTGACTTTTTTTAAAATTTTTCCGGCCTGTGTTATTTATAGGCCAATTTTGCTAATTTAAATATCGATCTCGAAAACATGTCCATTAAAAATATTGAAGATTTGGATCCCGAAGATATCTGTGGTTTTCATTAACGAATAGTATGAAAAAAAAAGTTTGTGGAATATTTTTCTAAAATGTTGTTGTAATGTTTTTACATTTTCGCAAAAGAAGTGAATACCTTTATTGTAACGCTCATACATTCTTTATTTTATTATAAACTTTTTATATTTAAAACTAAAAGATTTCTATTAAAAACAATTTCTACTTATACATACATATAAAGGTACAGAACAAATTAATATGAAATGAAACAGTATTATAAATCAGTATTTTTTAATAAACGCTACCTATACGCTGTGCTTTAAAAAGCGGTCGTTAAATTTTGAATTGAAAAATTCTTCTTAAAATAAATAATCTAAAATGGATTGCTTTAGAACTGAGGAAATGAAGGCAAAATGAAAATGCGAAAATTACTAAAGGAACTTAAAAAACAATACAAAAAGATATCAAATTACTATTGTTGGGAACTGGCGAGTCAGGAAAATCGACATTTACACGTCAAATGCGTATTATTTACGACAAGGGCTTTAGCGAAGATGAGAGAAAACATTTCATCAAATTGATACATGAAAATATTTTCCAAGCTATACAAAATATGGTAACAGCCATGGAAACCTTAAACATTAAATATGAGAAAAGTGAAAATGCCACGAAGTTTATTACGCTCATTTCTTATGTAAATCCTGGAACTAATACCTATTTAGAAGATCCCTATTTGACGGCAATCAAAGAACTTTGGAACGACAAGGGCATACAGGAATGTTATATGCGACGTAATGAATACCAACTAAACGATTCGGCTAAATACTATTTAGATGATATTGATCGCATTGCTTTGCCAGACTATTTACCCACAGAACAGGATATTTTAAGAGTTCGTATAGCAACGACTGGTCTAATACAGCACGTATTTAAGGTGAGCAATGTAACATTTCGACTGATAGACGTGGGTGGCCAACGATCGGAGAGAAGAAAATGGATTCATTGCTTTGATGATGTTAAAGCTATAATATTCTTAGTTGCGATTTCGGAATATGATCAGGTTTTAAAGGAGAACGAAGAACGTAATCGACTAAAAGAATCCAAATCGATTTTCGAATCAATTTCGAAATTTTTCCAAAACACACCGATTATAATGTTTTTAAATAAAACCGATCTACTGGATGAGAAAATTAAGCGCTCACATTTGGATGAATATTTTCCGGACTTTAAGGGAAAACGTGGCAATAGCAAAGATGCTCGTGAATTTATATTGAATATGTTTCTAAAAATTCGTCCCTTAATGTACTCACACTTCACCTGTGCTACAGATACGGAGAATATTAGAGTGGTATTCACCGCAGTAAAAGACATCATTTTAACAACGAATTTAAATAATTTTGGACTTGTTTAAAACAAAATATTGATTACATTTATTTGTTCTCAAATGTAAAATTTATTTTCAATTAATTATATATTATATGTGTTTAGAAATAAAACTATACATTTAAAATTAATTAAAGTGCCTGTGGCAGTAATATAATGAGGTATACAATGTCAAAATATATATGAAATATAAAATTTTTACTATTAATAAATATCGAAACATATATTTTAAAATGGCTTAGTCTGAAACATGCATAACTATTGCTACAGAAATTATAGTGATATATATCGAAACTTTTTTTTCTAAAAAATTTAATACTTTTAAACAGTGTAATTAAAAGTATTAAATTTTTTAGAATATGGAGTTTTTCAGACTACAAAAGTAAAGATTTATTTTTGTTATTATACAGCTAAACAACCATGAAAACCGATCGACTAGATCAAGAGTTATAATCGCTAAAATTTTTTACCAAAAAACAGCTGTTTTATTTTATATGATCCACATCATGACTAATACAATTGTGTTTATAAATATTCAAAATAATAATAAAAATGCATAAATTCTTTGTTTATTTCTTGAAAACCACAAAAAAATAAGTTCATGTTATTATAAACAATAATACAATGTATAAGGAAATTTATTTAAATGTCTCGAATGACTAATTAGAGACATAATAAGAGTTTGAATTATGGAGGCCCCAAAGGAATTAATTCATTCCAAGATACCATTTCTCCAAAAAAAAAACGGGCTTTGAAAAATTGATTTTTTTATTCCCAGAGTTGTAAAATGCTATATGTTAAGAAATTTTTCTTTAATTGTATTATACATATGTATATCAAAACTTCTTGTGATAAAAATTGTTAAACTTACCATTTTGAATAGAATATCTTCAATCATCTGCATATATTTAGGTTTATACACAGCTTCTTCCTCTTTCAAATTTATTTTAAAAGTAACGGTTAATTCATCTTTATTGTATTATAAACATTCTACATTCCGGAAACTTCTGTCGGTTAAAATAATATTTGGTATGGCAACACTAATCCCCTCTGTTTATTTTTTATCCAAACGTTAAGTTTTCAAAAATTATTTTAACAGGCAGAATGTCTAACAGTTAAGCGATAACCGTAGGTTTAGTATCTGTAAGGAAATGATTTACAAAATAATAATATAATCAAAATTTGAACTATTTTTTAATTATTATTTCTTAAGCACACTAATATTTTCAAACATTTTAGACATCAATTTGCGTAGTTTTTGAATCCTTCATAACTTGACGAACAAATAAAAATATGAATTTAGTACTTTTTGAATATTCGAACGTTTAAGGGGTGAAAATTTTACCTATTTTTGGTACTTTTTTATGAAACATAATAACGGGCTCCCAATACCATGTTGCAACTTTTTGGAACAGAATTTTTATTTTGTTAATGGGGAGGAAAAAAGTACCAAAAGGGGTAAAAACGGGAAATTTGATATTATTCAAGAAACACTAAATAAGCTAATGGGGTGTTATTTGGAACACCGGTACCAAGTGATATTTTTTGGTAGTTTTTCATTCTCCAACAGGTACTTTTTGAGTTTTCTATGATATTGAAATCGAAACATGAAATTAATAATTAAGGGACTTTTCGGAACTTTTTGGTTCTACAAAGGTATTTTTTGAGTTTTCTAAAAAATTTAACCTAGAAACATGAAATTAAGCAAGTAGAGTCCGGAGTAAATGAGAATCTATAAAATGGGACTTATTGGTACTTTATCGTACTTCGACTGGTACTTTTTTGACTTAGAACTTAGAAACATGTAATTAAGCACTTGAGAATCTATAAATATGGACTTATTGGTACTTTTTCGTTCTTCAAAAGGAACTTTTTGAATTTTATATAATAAGAAACATGAAAGCGTGTAGAGCCCCGATTAAGTGAGAACCTGGTTCTTCAAAAGGTACATTTTAAGTTTTTGTATAATAATGAACCTAGAAACGTGAAATTAAGTATGTAGAGCCCGGATTAAGTGAGGTCCTATAAAAGGGGACTTTTTGGTACTTTTTCGTTCTTCAAAAGGTACTTTTTGAGTTTTCTATTAAATTGAAGATATAAACATGAAATTATGCACGTAGAGCCCGGAGTAAATGAGAATCTATAAAATGGCACTTTTTGGTACTTTTTCGTTCTTTGACTGGTACTTTTTGAGCTTGCTACAAAATTTGAACCTCGAAACATGAAATTAAGCACTTAGAGCCTGGAGTAAATGAGAATCTATAAAAGGGGAACTTTATCGTACTTCGACTGGTACTTTTTGAGTTTTACATAAAATTAAACATAGAAACATAAAAATAAATATGTAGAGCCCGGAGTAATCTATAAAAAGGGACTTTTTTTTTCGTTCTTCGACTGGTACTTTTTGAATTTTTTATAATATTGAACCTAGAAACATGAAATTAAGAATGTACAGCCCGGATTAAGTGATAACATATAAAAGGGGACTTTTTGGTACTTTTTCGTTCTTCGACTGGTACTTTTTGAATACTTTTTAGTTCTTTAACTGGTACTATTTGAATTTTCTTTTATAATGAGCCTAAAAACATAAAACTAAGCAATCAGGGACTTGAGTAAATGAAAATTTAAACTGGAGTATTTCTGGTAATTTTTCGTTCTTTAACTGGTACTTTTTGAATTTTCTAAAATATTGAATATATAAACATAAAATTAAACACGCAGTATCCTAATTGAACGAAAATTTATCTCGCTTACGTCCATTTTGCAAAAAAGGCTCGATATCAATCGAAATCTCTATAGGCCATAATTGACCCTGCCCCCTTCAATAATTGATTTTACCGTTTTCTACGTACTTTGTTGGAACGAAAATATGTAATGTAAATATGTATATGAAATCTTCTCCAGAAAATGACTTAAACGAACATAAATGGCTTTCAAATGTCGATGTCGAAGGAAAAACATTTTTAGGAACCGAAACCTACATTTATGAAAAATAAAATTTTGAGGATCGGTCCGCCAATATAACCCTCTTACAGAAAATCAGTTTATAGCTAATACATCATTCCAAAAGTTATCATTATGATAGATTTATGGTAGAATTAAAAAAAAAATACTTTAAATTATAGAGACTTTGTCCATAATTGACCCAATTCCACATTTAAGTCTCTAATCCGAAAATCACGGTGACGTTCTTATTAATCTAATGATCAAAGTCCATATATATATGTATATGACCACTTCCGAAATTTGCTTTTTTACGACAAATGATTTGCCGAATATAACACTTACTCCTTACTTATTTTAATCATAAAGAAATTACCGCTAAAATAGAAATACTCTGCCTTTTGGAATATTTTTCAATCTCTTTGTGATCCTTTTAAATGATGTTGTTCTGGAAGAACTTTAACATCCATGTAAACATTTTGGGTAATAAATTGGGGGACTACCAATGAGGGGAGCGGAACCTCCCATATGAATTAAATACAAAAATTCGTTTATCTGGGAAACTAATAGAACTAAATTCTTCAAATTTTGCACGAAGAACTTTAATATTCATCTGAACATTTTGGAGAAAAAAGGGCGGACTTTCATCTGGGGGGCTTGGAGCTCCCATATGAATTAAATAGAAAAATTCGTATATCTGAGAAACTATTAGAGCTAGAATCTTCAAATTTTACTGAAGAACATTAAGAGAAATTGCAATAATTTGCGTGGAATCTCCCATATGTAACAAATTGTATATCTGGAAAACCATTGTAGTTAGAATCATCAAAATCGTTAACTGGATTTCTTATTTATATTGCTTTTAGGGTAGCACAGCATACTGGGTATAGCTAGTAAATAAACAAATAAAATATCTTTGTTTTTACGTTTTATATAGAGGATAGGGTTAAATATCGGCAGATCCTCGTAAAACTTGGAGAAAGGATTTGTTTTTAATTTTTAAGAATTTTTTATTCATCCCTGCATAATTTCTCACACAACTTTTGAGCTTGATCTGTTTTGTTGTTATAAACAATATATTTGCTTCCAAAGTCCCACTTTCTGATCTCTCGGATTCCGTTTTTATTTAAAATCGTTGAAAATTTAAAAACTAAACGTAGTTGAAAACTTAGCCGGCTTACAGTAGATTTTAAGCCGCCGCCGACATATTTAGTGTCAGTCGCCGCCGCCGTTAATATTTGTCGGCGCAGGGCTCTGTGTGCAAATTTAGTGTAAATCAGTTTTGAAGGAAAGAACAAAAAATAAAATTTAAATATAAATGTAAACTAATTAATAAAAGTGTAGTGCAAAGATAAATATTAAAATGAAGGTGTGTGTAAAATTGCGTTTATATAACAACAAGCATAAATAATTAAATTTTTATTGTTTCTTGCTATTTTTAGCTACAAGTGAGTCGTCAATTGACAGACGAACTCAAGCAAAAGCAGGTGAGTTGCACACAAAATATTTTAATTAGTTTCGAAAATAATTAACAATTCTCTTTTATTTGAATGGATGCTTAAAGACTATAACCAATAGTCTAATAAATAAAATATTATATTCAAAAAGATTGCTGGTCGATCATGTTGAAGCGTTAGAGCAATGTATGCTTTTTATGCAAGATACTCCCTTACCAACAACCACAGCAGCAGCTAATAGCAGTCATGATAAATGCGATGGCAAAGACAAGTGCATTAATAAACAACAGGAAATATTATGGCCAGAAATATTTACTGCACGCAATGCTTGTATCTTATTGGGTAGTACTATTTTGGAACACCTTATAACACCACGTGCTTTTCGTTTAACTTTAATACCCTCCTTGGTCGTGACCGGAGGCTTTAGTGCCTTGTATGTGGTAAAGAATGTATTTGGTTTTCGCAATAAATACGTTGAGAGAGAGCTGGAGAATCTCATACGAACAATTGATGAATTTGGAAATTGTATACGTCGTAATATGACCTATTTCAATGAGATTATTATCATGAAACAGCATGAATTAATAGAGTAAGTATCTGTTCTTATAAGGCAGTATATTAAAAATAGCTATTTTATAAAATTTCTTTATGTTTCGCTTTAGATCACGTCAAATAGAACGTGCTTGGGATTGTATTACAGCTGCCAAAGAGGTAACAGAGATACTTTTTGAAGCAACCCGTAAATTAGAAACCCAATATCCTATACCAGCACGATTTTCCCAGTATTATGCCCCAATGGAAGATTTAAAAGAATGTGAATACTTCAAGAACAATGTCACCGATTATAGTCCTAAGCACATAAAAGTAAGTAAATTTGTTTAACTATTTTTCAAATGCATAACCATCCATTAATCGAAAACAATAATCCTATATAAGGATATACAGAATATTAAATATATTGTGCTATAATTATAATTTTCAAGAAGTTTCTAAAAGTAATGTTCCAAAAATGGAATATTGTTTGTTAATCTATAGAATAGGTATGTTGCTTCCTTTAGCCTCCATACTTCGGTTACCCGGTATATGAAAAATAATTTGGCGAAATTGGTTAAACGTCGATCCATAACCCATTATAACTTATGGAACGAAACATGGTCAAAAAAATGTATTTTGGTATGGAATAGGACCTTGGTAGGGCAATTCTGACAATACTATTTTAAAAAATATGTACATATTTAGTTTTTATGGGAGCTATGGCTATTTACGTAAAAGCATTATTTGTGTTGAAATTACATTCTTTTGAAAATTTCATTAAAATATACATATAATTCATTTAAATGAAGTGAAAAGTTAAATGTAAAATTAGTAAAATGCAGGAATGTAAAGTAGTGTAAAGTGTAAAGTATTTTTGATTTAGTTTGTCAATAACAAATTCAATTCTATGACTATTTTGAGAGAGAGAGTAATCAAATATATTTTGGCAATCAAATACAGAACGAGTAATCAATACGATTTAGAAAACTGATTTCATACGACTAACGGACATTGGAGGGTTATAAAGATTAACTTTTTGCTGCATTATTTCAAATCATCGCTTAAATGGTCACATAACAAATCTTACAGCCATAATACTTTATTATTATAACGTCTATTTTTTAGGATTTTCATAATATCTTCGCCTACGTACAATCCCAGTTCCTTTTACGTTTAGCTTTAACCATATCGACGAAACCATCCTTGAGTCAACTTCATACAGAATTAGAAAAGATCGACTGCCTTATACGACAGCTAGTGCTCGAAGAAGAAAATCACTTTAAAAATCTAGCCATCGAATTGAACAAAAAGAAATCATTAGAATTGGAAGCTTTAAATGCCAATAAATTAATTAAAACTCGTAATGATCCTATAGGTGTGCTACAGGATTCATCGCTTAAACTGAGTGCCTGTATGGTGGCCATGGCTGGTGAATGCCAAGCCTTAGATATCACTTTACAACGCCTTACCGAAACAGAAAATGAAAAGAAAGACAATACCAAACAGTTGGTGGAAGTGGCCAATAATATGCGTTCCATTGAAAATGCTTTAACGGTGTGTTTCGATGACTTCCAAAGGCTAATGTTGGTGTATAATAAGTTTCTTAATAGTAAACTAGATTTAAAAGATACACATAGTGAAAAAAGTGAAAATAAATCTCAAGCTACTGATGATGAGTTCCCAGAAAGCTTTTTACGCGTTGAAATCTCTCAAAATCCTAATGACATGGAGAAACGAGATGATTTCTACGCATACATGTTCGATGAACAGCAGGCTAAAGCCGAAAGGGAACAATTGGAGAAGGAAGAACGTGAACGACACAATGAAGAGTTGGAAATTTTAAATTTTGAAAAACGCATCACCAAAGGAAAATTCCGACCGGTACTTAAGCAGCTAAAAGATCGTATTGATCCCATAAGACAAGTAATGCTTGAAAAAGAACGTGAAGTTCTAGCCTCTAAGGGTATCAATGTTGATGAATTATTTGCTAAAGAAGATGACGAAGAGGATGATGATACGGATAAGGAACACGACAGTACGGTAGTATTTAAGGAGGCCTTTGATGACAGCGATGATAGTGAGGGAAGTGCTGATTTGGAGTTTGAAAGGCGCACTAAAAAACTTAAAGAACGTGATAATTTTGCTGAAATGCGTAATTTTTTGGCACAAAAACAAAACATCAATTTATTTAAATTGGAAGCACCGCCAGCAGCGTCAAATGCTTTGGGTGATGAGGATATTCTGGAGAGTGAATGCTAAGGAGTGCTCTTTTATTGTAATTTTTATCATAAAGACCTTATTTTCTTTTTTTCTTTTGGTAAAAAGTACATATTATTTAAATATTTTTTTACTAAGAACAAGTAATTTGTACAATAAAGTGATACATTTTAGAAATTTAATCCAGTTTAATAAAATTATTCTGGTTAATTTTCTCAAAATTTGTTTATATATTTGTATCGAATTTTTGATACTATTAAAAGTTTGAAAGTGTTTTATTTGATTTTACAGCATATATATGTATATTAACTGTAAAATTTGCTTAATTTATTGTTCCACATTTTGCCTAAACTATTGTACTAATGCATTTTATATACTTTTTGTTTTGTACATTAAATATTAAAATATTTATTTCAATAAAGTAAACCAACAATAATTCATTGGTAATTTGCACAATAATGTGGCTTTTATTTTTTAGAGCAAGAGAAAAAGTGGAGAGTTTTAAAGAAACTAAATTAAGTATAAGTTTCATAGAATTTTCTTTATAAAAGTTGTGTATAAAACTTTAGTTCATTAAACATAAACTTGATTTGTAACTTTCAATTAATTTTTATCTTAACTACTGATAAGATTAATATTTTATCTAGACGTGTTATAATTAATTGAGAATGAAATACGTTATATATATTAAAAATTTACTAGGCTGTTAACACTTTATTAATGGGTCTATTATGAATGGAAAACGTACTGTAACCACGTCATTTTGGCAACGCAACATTAGTATTTCTATAAGTAAAATGGAAAGAGGAATAAAGACAGGTCGATTTCTAATGTGGTTTCTGTCTGGAATTTTTACCGAATGTATTCACTAAAGAAACTGCTGTGAGGGAATCTGAATCCAGTCGAAAGAAATGACAAATTCCTTAGTATACTGCGAGGGTTGATTCTCGCAATTTCCCCTACTTCGTTATGGAACCTTTCTCCCTGCCATTAAAACCTGAGATTCTGTATTCTAGGACAGTGGCAAAATAAGTTCTCAACCGTCTCTGCTTCATCACTTACTGATAAATGCCCTAATTAAGCAATGCGCCGTTAAAAACCTGCTCCTATCCATTCCTATAAGTATCTGGATCAACATCAAGTCTTGGTCTTTCATATTTTACAATTTATTCTATCACTGGTTGATGATGTCACGGATTCTCTTGAAAATCAACCTATAATAGTGGTGGTTTTACTCTTCTATCCCTATCTTCTATGTCATAACCATGCACATTACAGTACCTCGAAACCTAACACAGTCTCATAATGTAGCAAGAGCATTTCTACAATCTGGCGCAAATGTACCGTGGGACATGTCAATGCTCTAAGAGCAGCTTGATTATCGATACAAATTTTCTCAAGCGACCCTAGATCGATATGATTCCGTATCTGTTCTATCGCTTTCCAGATCACTATGATCTTTATATCGGCATCAGCGATATAGACACCGACACGTCTATCCGTCTATCCGATACAAGCCAATCGCCCCCAGTTGGAAATTCCATTAGAGGTGTTTCCTCGAAAATAAAGTTGTAATTCTATTATGTGTAATTCCACAAAGAGGATGAGCTACCATGATCAAGTAGACCTTCTTCGCGCAGAATTTTTGTCTAGTCGCCATTGAAAAACATCACAAAACTTTTCAAGTTATAATAATATTTTTATTAAATTTACATAAATACTTTTTGTTTTATTTACAAATCAAAATAAATAAAGCTACAACTTACACATGTACTGCATATAATGTTAAGTACAAATTAAAAACAATATAAAAAATTATAAAAAATGGCAAATATTCATTAATTTGAACGGCAGATATTAATTAAACATTAAGATAAAACAGAAATATAAAAATATAGAACAAAAAAAAAAAACGAAAGTCGGGGTTATCGTACACAATATTATTAACAATCTTTGGTCAAAAATTCGTTTAATTCTTTTTTTGTTGTATCTTACACAATTGTTTTTTTTTTCATATCAATATAAAAAAAAAACTTACACTTAAAACTAGATTTATTAAACCCAATTACAAACATATTTTTAAACCTTAATTTACTGCTTAAAATCAGCCTTGAATTACTGTTTTAAATATACAAAATGAAAAAATTTCTGAATGTTTGAAATAATTATCAAACACTTCCATTACTTACGGCACCATTTGTATGACCCTGTGAAAATGCTGATAGATTACTACTACGCACACTGGTATAACGTATAGGTTCCACACCGAAATCGTCTCGTTTTAAACGTCTTCGTATACACACCACTATAAAACCGATAATTAAACCCAACACCACTACAACTGATGCAGTAATAACGGTTAAGATAATATAACGTTTACGTCTAAAACGTGGTGGCTCCTCATCGATAACTTTGTATTTTTTGGGAATTTGTAAAGAACAAATTTGTTTTAAGGTTAAATTAGATAAACGGGCACCCGCAAATATATAGGGACTATCGCAACGTATCGGTTCATCTGCATAAAGATAATGTGAACCAGCGTACTCTAGCACTTGGAATAGCTGACAATCACACATCCATAGATTGCCAATAGTTTTAAATGTTTTGAGTAATGGCCAAGGTTTTGGTAAAGTGATATTTGTATTATTAGCTGCAGACACCGATGACAGATCCATATTGAGATTAAGAGTTGTTAGACTGCAATATGAGATGTCCAACTAAATAAAAAAACATTAAAGATTTGTTAATTTTGAAAACATAAATATATTTTTAGAAACTTACATAGGTCAAGTTTCCACAATGCATTAAGCTATCTAAATCAAAGCTCTCCAACTTGTGATTGTTTGAACAGTCTAAATGAGTTAAATGCTCCAAACGGGAAAAGGTATTATTCTGTATGCTCTTTAAATTTGGCATACCACTAATATTTAGATGCAACAAGGCTTTTAAACCCAAAAAACTGCCTTCACTAAAATCACTGAATTTATTGCCGGCTAAATTTAAGCTGCGCAAACTTTGCCCAATCAATTGGAAATTTTCGGGTAAATGAACAAATTCATTGCCAGCCAAATTTAATACCTTTAAAGAAGTAAGTTTCTCAAAAATAACCTTAGCCAGAGATTTAATACCGGTGTGAGAGAGATCAAGGTTCTGGAAATTAAATATACAATTGTTAACATTTTTAAAAACATATTTCAAAACACAAAATCTCACCTCCAACGAAGACGCCGAAGCCAAAGCCATAGTAGTTGGATTATCCAAAACCTTAAAGCTATTCCAACTTAAATTTAATTTCGTTATATTAGGCGTATGCTCAAAAATTCTTCGATCCAAAGAGTTAAGTTTATTGTGACTTAAATCCAATTCAATTAAAGCAATCGGTTCATAACTGGTTATATGATAGGGTCCCCTAAAAACATCCGGTGTCAATTCATCATTTGTGATTTCGTTATAAGCCAAATCCAATGAAATTATATTTGGAACATCCATAAAAGTGGGTACTTGCAAATGTTTGATACCACAATGGCGACAAGCAAAACTCAATGTACCATTGGTTGAAGGCAATTGTTGCAATATATCGATTGTGTTACCCGAAAAACTGGCCACAATTACGTTTTCTATTACAAGTGCAAGAGGTAATTAAAATTGAGGATGTTATAAATATGTATATCAACCTATGCGAACTTACCTTTTCCATTATTTTTGCCAAATTCTTCTGGCCACCTTGCCAATATATGCTTGAATCCTTTCATCACACAACTTAACATGTGATGTGTTTGATTTTTATTGCCAACATCTTGTGTATCTAAACATACACATGTTTCACAAATGTTTGCAACATTTTCGTATGGTATATTTTCATGCTGGCCGGCAATATGTGGTAGCCAACATACTGTTGTTGTAAAGAATAGTAACTGTAAAGATATATAGAAATGAAATAATTCATATTAGTATTTTTAGTGATATACAATATATTTTTTGGAAATTTAGTTATAACAGATTCTTAACTATATAATATATCATTAGAAGTGTGGGGCCATTATAAATAATGTTCATTGAATTCAATCAGTGGCAATATTTAAATTTTAATGGGTCTCCGAAGTTTTAGGAATACACTTGGTCGTTCGTTCATTTTATGCGGCCAAAAGATTTATTTGGCGTGCAAATCGATTTGTATACCACTTTCACTTTGAATATACATATTTACTACTCGAATGCTTGTTCGAACTTTTAGATCAAACTATCTCTTGCTGGTAAAAACTTTCCCAACTACTGTCAAATGGGTGGTCATTACTAGATCGTCTTAAAATTTTACAATGACCTAGAATTTATTTTCTTTAAGCCCTGTTTATTCCACCTCCGGTTATCGTTTAACCTGTAGATATTCTACCGGTTAAAATATTTTTGTATGAAAACTGTCAATTTAACCCTACCATAAAATATAACCAGACATTGAGATAATGGGGGAAAGTGATATATTAAGAGTAAAATTACAATGTGTGTAACACACGGAATTCCGTTTGTAATTTCTAACCCATAAAGTATATACATATGTATATTCTGGATCCTTTTAGATATCGGAGTCGATTAAGCCCGTCTGTATGTTTGTTGAAAACAATTATCTGAAAATCCCAGATATCTTCGTAATCCAAATCTCCAACAATTCTGTCATATATGCTTTCGAGAAGATCACTATTTAAAGTCAACAAAATCGGTCCAAATAATAATTTAAATATGAGCAAAAATCCCAGACAATCTCTGAAAACTTCATAAAAATATAAAGCAATAACAACATACAGCTTCATGTGATAAATGTTTTACTGTTTATATTCTTATGTCAGTCTGCAAAATATGTAATGCAAAAACATAAAAAAAAATGTTGAGGAACATTTGCTTAGACACATGTATCTTTACTTGCTCTTATTAATGAAAGTAAGGAAATCATAAATACATGTTGTATTAATGTATGTTGCAGCAACAAGTAAAATTTATTTAAAAATAGCACAAACATATAGGATGACTCATTCGTACTACACATATATCAACTTATTTATAGAAGTGAGGGTTTTGTGCGAAAAAATATATAACAGTGTGTGTGTGCTGAGTTAAAGTATAATATTTGGCAAACGGCGCGTTACTTGGGGATGTAGCTCAGTGGTAGAGCGCTCGCTTCGCATGTGAGAAGTCCCGGGTTCAAACCCCGGCATCTCCAGAATCATTGTGTAGAACTTTTTTATTATTTAATTTTTTTAAATAATTAATTTTATAGATCATGCATATATTCTTCATTTAAAATGGGTTACAAACCCATTTTAAAAGCTCTCAATATTTTTAATCATATAAATATTTAGGGCACAATTGTATGTCATTCTTATTATTTGTAAATTTGATTGATTAATTGTATTATTTTTAATTAAATTTAATGTCGAAGATTAAATTCAAAATACCAAAAGTGAGTGTAGTTGTTTAATTACTATTCTAGATTTATATGTACTTCAACAATGTGTATACATTTGTACATATGTATGTATGTATGTACATATTTTATTTATGAAACGCAATTTGATTCGTAATACCTCTTTTATGGGGAACAAAGTTCGATTGATAATTGAATTTACAGGTTTTTTAAACAGATCAAGCTAACCCACTAATATTTGTTAAAAGTCATGAATTCTAAGTGCTTTAGGAATGTTTAAAAAATGCTCTTTAACATTTATAAATATATTCTCGACTTAAGAAACAATACAACATTTTCAGAAGCGTAATAAATGTTACTAAACGATGATATATATGGCAGATAATGTTGGTCTCTCTATATTTATGGGTGGTGTAAATATTAAAGAATCAGAAACTCTTGATGTTCTGGGTATGAAAATACAGTGCGATATCCGATGGACTAAACACATTCTCCAACTGTTGAAAAAACCATTCAAGTTTCTCGGTTTTTTGAAATGATTTAAGATATACTTCACTCCATCTGATCTTCTTACTATTTACACCACTTATATTCGACCGAAAATGGTATACAACTCCCATGTATGGGTCGGAGCTTCAAAGTCTATTTTGGAGCTACTCGACCGCGTATAAGAGAGGGCGAAGGTACTTTTCGGTGACAATAGGGTACCTAAATCTATTGATTCACTGGAGCACCGTCGCAACTGGTGTGTATTTTACTGCTCTATCGATACTATAATGGAATGTGTTCTCCGAAATTAGGGAACTCGTTCCCGGTACTCGTATATATTTACGCAGCACACGAATGTCATCAAGAACACACCCATTTGGGGTCGATTGGCAAGTGGACCGCACAACACATTACAGGGGAAATTCTTTCTTCAGCCGCTTTATTCGTATGTGGAACAAACATCCTGCAGAAGTATTACCCGTCATTTTCGAGGCGGTTTCGTGTGAAAAGGCTTAAATCAAATGTCCACAAGCACTACTCCCTCTATCCTCTCTCCCACAACCTATTTTCCTAGTTCCAGCACAATGCACTGCATGAGTAGGGATCATCCCCTGAGTGCTGATCCAAGAAAAAATCAATTTCAAGGATAGGGGCGGCGGTTTACCCCTTTCAAAATCAGAAAAAGGGTTTCATTATGGGAACACTATTGGCTACCACGTAGTGATAGGGCCTAATTTTGGTCATTACCCTAATTTGCATACAATCTCTTATTTGCAACTAAGTGTTCATAACTCAAAAAACTTAGTTTCGAGTAAAACGACTAAAATTTTTTACTTTGGATCAAAGCAAATCTTTGAGAAATATTTTTTTCGAAATTATTTGAAAATTGTGATATATACTTAGATAACAATGTTTAAATAAGGGAGTTCTATGGAAGTCCTTCTTATTGCAAAGATTTTGTTCCATTAACGGAATTACGTATTTCATCAAATAAGTACTAGATGTTAGACATAGAGACAAAAAGAAGGCAAAGATCATATGCTAAGCATGTCCCCCGGTGACATTGCAAAAGCTGCCTTCGATTAGACACCCCAAGGAAACACACGGAGGAGCGGTCGTCCACTGCATACATGGAGACGACAACTTGAGACCTTAGCTAGAGCGAAATAAGGCAAAAGGAATCTAACAGATCTGGATGGAGCTAATGTTTTGGCTTTCTGTTCCTCATAGAAACCATAGGACATAATAACAACCAGTATGGTGATTAACGAATAAAATGTTATCTAGAGCTTCTGCATAGACTGCGAATATGTAAAGAACTGCAATATGTGCGAAGAACCTATATTTTGCTCGAGCCAGATCTGAATTTTAATCTAGAAATGAAAGTTGCTCCTCTACAAAGATGATTGTTCAGATTACTCAATAGAATGAGGATCTTAATTTTAATCTATAGATTTATTAACACAATTTACAACGTAAAATTTCGTATCATTAACGAAACTTTTCATTGAATTAACATAAACAGGTTAACGTTTAAGTTCATTGGGGTTACGAAACTTGAATATCGTTCTACATATGGGCAATTTTTCGTTTCCACATTTGTACGCCTACAGAGTGGTATAGATTTTGTAAATTGCCTCATACTTGAAAAATAATTTTGTCATCAGAGAGTAATATTATATGTGGAAAAAAATTCATTCCATTCAGAACATTGTTTTCCAAAATAGGGAAGTAAAATGGGGGAATATCATACGTGACAAAAACAGAAGTGATATCTTCTAAGATAAAGGAAATTTAAATGTCAATTTTTTAAAGATCACGTAATTTTCGTTAAATATTTGATAGGTGTGAACGTATCTTAAGTGTTTTTCGGACATTAAACTTTGTACGGAGGATCATGGTCAAATGAGGTCTCAATGTTATGAAAATCATCTATATGATTTAGAATTGTATATAATTTTCGATCTACCGATTTTTGAAAAGATAGTATTATAATTAACATCCATTTGTATGGATTATGGGGAATTTTTCAACATCCTTCGTCTTTGGTATAACAAAAGATTATACACCAAATTTTGTCGAATTATCTTTAAAAAAGCAAAAGTTTCAAGGTTTTTATTTTTATTTATTCATCATTTACCTTTCCATGGAATTAACCATGTACAAGTTACAAGATATTAGTCGTACTTTCTTGGATCAAAAGGTAAAAATGTTGCAAATGAGATGTATAATGTCCACTAGACCAAAGAAACATTCATTATGAAACGGTGATTGTAATAATTCCAAAAATGTCTATTAAAATCAGAGTAAGTCGTTAATGTTAATAGGTGGAAAATGATTTCGACTTTTTTGTTCCAAACGTAAATTCCGTCGAAAATCGATTAATACAACTCATATTCTTTGAAAAACAAGTAAGAAATTATAGTCGGGCGTGGCCGACCATATGATACCCTACACCAGTTATGAATATTAAATGTGATTTATTTTTCATAATAAAGCATTTATCTTCAATATTCCCTTGTTCCGATACATTTAAGCAATTTATGGATGAAAAACTAATTTTCTGAAAGAGGCTTTATATGGGGGCTAGGGGCAAATATGGACCAAGCCCGATAAAATTTTGTGAATATATTTATATTGACTTAATATTTTATTGAGCTGAATTTCATCCCGATATTTGTGTTTATAAGCTAATTTGGGACATTCAAGTAATTTTCTGAAGGGGACTTTGTATGGGAGCTAGGGTCAAATGTGGCCCGATCTTTATGAAATTTGGCAGGGTCATCAAGACTTCTATAAAACTTAGTTGTGCCGTATTTTATCGATATATCTGTATATTTAACAAAATTGTGAGCTCAGAAGCCCTTTTCGGGGGGTTCTGTTGTATGGGGGCTAGGTGAAATAATGGACCGATTTTAACTATTTTCAATAGGCTTCGTCCTTAGGTCAAATAAAACGTGCGTGCCAAATTTCATCCAATTATCTTGAAAATTGCGACCTGTACCTTGCGCACAAGGTTTACATGGACAGCCAGCCAGCCAGACGGACGGACGGACGGACAAAGCTTAATCAACTCAGATTCGATTCTAAGCCGATTGGTATACTTTAAGGTGGGTCTAGGACGAATATTTTTGAATGTTACAAACATCAGCACAAATCCAATATACCCTCCCCACTAAAGTGGTGTAGGGTATAATTAATCTTAAAATTATTAGTTTACATTTTTAAACTTACCAGTAATAAACTATATTTATCCATTTTCGTAGTAGTATGTAGTTTTTTTTAAAGGCTCTCTTTTTTAGTTTATCATTTAAACATTATAAAACAATTCTTGGTGAGGAATATTTGTATATCCAGTAGCAATGTAATTAATTATGGCACTATTTAATATATTTTATAAGAATTTATAATAATACGAACACCACGTCATTTAATATTTCTTTTTAAAAAAATATACTAACTTTATTACTTTTTCCTTGTGTTTTACCAGCAATTTTTAAACAAAATGTTGTATTTTTTCTTTTATTTATATGTTATCAATTTTGCTGTTGTTGTTTGTGTATAATTTACTTTTTATTGATAAAGTAAATATTACTTTTTATAAATTGATTGAACACATTTACTTTTTTTTAAATAAGTAGTATAATTATTTTATTTGTTTAAAGTTATAATTTCTTAAACACCTGGATATTTTTTGGGAAAAAAAATATATGTTTTTAGTATACTTTTTAGAAATAAATTATAGTTTTAGTTAGTTTAGGAAATCGTTTATGCCGTTATGTTTAAGAGTTAAACATATACTGAATTCTATAAAAAACAAAAGCTTTTTTTCAACTTAACCATTTTGTAAGATTTTCATTCTGAAATATACACACCCCAACTGTAAACTTTTCCAATTTACTGATTAGATTAAATGCACTCTATAATGGGTAATATTATGTATGGTATTGGATCAATACTGTTGTTATACATTGTGAAAGATTTTGACGGAAGTTGCAAAAGTGAACTTATTTTGCAATTGAAATTTTTCAAAAATATTCAAATCTAAATCATATTTTGAATTCAGAAATTTATTTGAATTTGTAAAATTTGATTTTGTAAAATGTATAAATATTACAGATTTGATATAGGTTGCCGAATATTTTGCTATCAAATCTAAGATAGAGAGTAATGAATATAGTCGAAATATTTTCTAGCCTAATACTAGATTAGGTCCAAGGATAACGTAAAATGTATTAGTACATAAACGAAGTTACTTTTTGATTAAATTTAGAAGGAAAATTCCCTATTTGACAAATAGGTTGAACGTGAAAATTGTTGATTCAAATTATATAAAAAACGTCATAATCGGAATATACTCCTTTTTACTGATTTCAAGAACTTGAAATATAAATTCACATTCTGTTGAAATCTTGTAGACCGAGATTTTTCGACCATATAATATATTTTTAACCTTTTTCTAAGACGATCTAGCCATGTCCCTCTGTCAGTCTGTTGTAGACATGATAGAGCCTAAACGAGAGAAGCTAGAAAGCTAAAATTTTACACAAATATTATCCATTGATAGAAAATCTTTGGTATTCACAATAGGCTATATTGGTCCCATACAAGTGACCCAAACCTTAAATATAAGGTCCCCTTCAGAAAATGTTTAGAGTTTACAACTGGCTTAAATATGGTAAAAATCAATTTTCCCCAATATAAGGCACATAATAGTTTTATCAAGTTTTATGAGGATCGATCGATCCACTCATATAATTTCCCCTTAGAAAATTATTTTTGCACTCATTACTAGCTTAAAAAATGACGAGTACAGCGATGAAATTATATAGGTAGAGAAATCGTTCTACCAAATTTCATGAGGATCTAACTATAACTGACCCTAACGCCATACAAGGTGTTTTCAGAAAAATTATTAGCAAAGGAATCGATTAATAAATAATAAGATTCGGCATAGTTGAATATAACTTCTCTTACTTGTTAATGTAGGGTTACAAAATATTCGACAGATATGAAAATATTTCTTCAATATACATATTTTATTTATAAATTAAAAAAAATGTTTATATAGTACTATTGATATTATCTACTCTCGACCGATAAGATAAGATTATTTTTTCCTCTTTTTTTTTTTTTTTTTTTTTTTGTTTATTTCAAAACAAAACTAAAGCTTTTTTTTCGTAACAAAAAATGAAAGTCAAGCCAAGAAAAACCAATATTTTTAGGTCAAATTTTTTATCATTAATAAAATACATATTTTCTATTTCAACAGTTTTTCTCGAATGTGTCTGGCCAATTAGTAGTACTAAATGTTTGTGGATTTTTATGGCGCTTGAAAACAGAAATATTAAATTACCAACCAAATTGTCTCTAAACAATGAACCACAAACATTTTAATTTCCAAAGGCATATAATAGTTATATTTGCCTATAAACTCTTTAAAGCGATATGTGTAATATTAAAAACATGATTCATGAAATTCAATCTAATTTTGAGTCATAAATTCAGATGTTCGGTGTAAACAATAATTCGAATTAACTGAATGTATAATAAACATGCTTATAAAAGAAAACAAAACATTATTTAAAGTTCTCAGGTAGATTTTTAAAAAACAAAACCTATTTTTCTTAAAAAGAAAAATAGGTGAACAACGGGTAAAGTAGCATTTTATAAAGGAGGCAAAGTTGTTTGGTGTTGTATATTTAAATAACTCATATCGCATTTTCAGCAAAAAATACTATTGAATTAACCCATTGATATAGTCTAGTCTATAGTCTAGTCTATAGTCTAGTCTATAGTCTAGTCTATAGTCTAGTCTATAGTCTAGTCTATAGTCTAGTCTATAGTCTAGTATAGTCTAGTCTATAGTCTAGTCTATAGTCTAGTCTATAGTCTAGTCTATAGTCTAGTCTATAGTCTAGTCTATAGTCTAGTCTATAGTCTAGTCTATAGTCTAGTCTAGTCTATAGTCTAGTCTATAGTCTAGTCTATAGTCTAGTCTATAGTCTAGTCTATAGTCTAGTCTATAGTCTAGTCTATAGTCTAGTCTATAGTCTAGTCTATAGTCTAGTCTATAGTCTAGTCTATAGTCTAGTCTATAGTCTAGTCTATAGTCTAGTCTATAGTCTAGTCTATAGTCTAGTCTATAGTCTAGTCTATAGTCTAGTCTATAGTCTAGTCTATAGTCTAGTCTATAGTCTAGTCTATAGTCTAGTCTATAGTCTAGTCTATAGTCTAGTCTATAGTCTAGTCTATAGTCTAGTCTATAGTCTAGTCTATAGTCTAGTCTATAGTCTAGTCTATAGTCTAGTCTATAGTCTAGTCTATAGTCTAGTCTATAGTCTAGTCTATAGTCTAGTCTATAGCCTAGTCTATAGTCTAGTCTATAGTCTAGTCTATAGTCTAGTCTATAGTCTAGTCTATAGTCTAGTCTATAGTCTAGTCTATAGTCTAGTCTATAGTCTAGTCTATAGTCTAGTCTATAGTCTAGTCTATAGTCTAGTCTATAGTCTAGTCTATAGTCTAGTCTATAGTCTAGTCTATAGTCTAGTCTATAGTCTAGTCTATAGTCTAGTCTATAGTCTAGTCTATAGTCTAGTCTATAGTCTAGTCTATAGTCTAGTCTATAGTCTAGTCTATAGTCTAGTCTATAGTCTAGTCTATAGTCTAGTCTATAGTCTAGTCTATAGTCTAGTCTATAGTCTAGTCTATAGTCTAGTCTATAGTCTAGTCTATAGTCTAGTCTATAGTCTAGTCTATAGTCTAGTCTATAGTCTAGTCTATAGTCTAGTCTATAGTCTAGTCTATAGTCTAGTCTATAGTTAGTCTAGTCTATAGTCTAGTCTAGTCTAGTCTAGTCTATAGTCTAGTCTAGTCTATAGTCTCGTCTAGTCTAGTCTATAGTCTAGTCTAGTCTATAGTCAGTCTATAGTCTAGTCTATAGTCTAGTCTCTAGTCTAGTCTATAGTCTAGTCTATAGTCTAGTCTATAGTCTAGTCTATAGTCTAGTCTATAGTCTAGTCTATAGTCTAGTCTATAGTCTAGTCTATAGTCTAGTCTTAGTCTAGTCTATAGTCTAGTCTATAGTCTAGTCTATAGTCTAGTCTATAGTCTAGTCTATAGTCTAGTCTATAGTCTAGTCTATAGTCTAGTCTATAGTCTAGTCTATAGTCTAGTCTATAGTCTAGTCTATAGTTAGTCTATAGTCTAGTCTATAGTCTAGAGTCTATAGTCTAGTCTATAGTCTAGTCAGTTATAGTCTAGTCTATAGTCTAGTCTATAGTCTAGTCTATGTCTAGTCTATAGTCTAGTCTAGTCTAGTCTATAGTCTAGTCTATAGTCTAGTCTATAGTCTAGTCTATAGTCTAGTCTATAGTCTAGTCTATCTAGTCTAGTCTAGTCTATAGTCTAGTCTAGTCCTAGTCTATAGTCTAGTCTATAGTCTAGTCTATAGTCTAGTCTATAGTCTAGTCTATAGTCTAGTCTATAGTCTAGTCTAGTCTAGTCTATAGTCTAGTCTATAGTCTAGTCTATAGTCTAGTCTATAGTCTAGTCTATAGTCTAGTCTATAGTCTAGTCTATAGTCTAGTCTATAGTCTAGTCTATAGTCTAGTCTATAGTCTAGTCTATAGTCTAGTCTATAGTCTAGTCTATAGTCTAGTCTATAGTCTAGTCTATAGTCTAGTCTATAGTCTAGTCTATAGTCTAGTCTATAGTCTAGTCTATAGTCTAGTCTATAGTCTAGTCTATAGTCTAGTCTATAGTCTAGTCTATAGTCTAGTCTATAGTCTAGTCTAGTAGTCTATAGTCTAGTCTATAGTCTAGTCTATAGTCTAGTCTATAGTCTAGTCTAGTCTAGTCTATAGTCTAGTCTATAGTCTAGTCTATAGTCTAGTCTATAGTCTAGTCTATAGTCTAGTCTATAGTCTAGTCTATAGTCTAGTCTATAGTCTAGTCTATAGTCTAGTCTATAGTCTAGTCTATAGTCTAGTCTATAGTCTAGTCTATAGTCTAGTCTATAGTCTAGTCTATAGTCCAGTCTATAGTCTAGTCTATAGTCTAGTCTATAGTCTAGTCTATAGTCTAGTCTATAGTCTAGTCTAGAACATAGTCCCTTGAATATAAGAAATTATGCCAAATTACCCGGAAACAATATTTTAAGTACCACAATGGGATAATTAAACTATTTTAAACCATACCTACGCGTTACAGTTTTCTGTCTGTTTCTTAAAGTATTAGCTAGCCTTTTCTTAATCTAATTATTAATACCTTTTTGATGTTTTGTTTACTCGTACAACAAAAGCAAATTGCTCAAATTCAATTTTTAACAATAAATAATAATACTTTTCGGAAGTTATGTATCTGCTCTTTATTTATATTTTATTAATTTACTTTTACGTATGACTAATTTCCATACTTTAAGACTGATTTTTGTACACATATAAAAAAGGAATGTTTGTGAGAAAAAAACTTTTATTAAAAGGTTCATTTTATTGAACTTTTGTAG